GTAATTGCAGGTCACCCAGGGTGTAATATCAAGGCTTATTATTGGCACCTCTGTCCTCTAAGACACAAAAAATCAAGGATATTCTTACTTACGTCGGAGGAGAAGGACCCGATACTTCCCTCCGTGTTTCTGTAGACTCAAAAAGACAAAATGTTTCAGTCTAACTCTGCACGGACAGAGTGAAGGAATGCATTATACCGGCTCTGGGGGGCCTGAAGTTGAGATGAAGGCTGTTTCTTGTCTGTTAGTCGTTAACGAGTAGGTTTATCTCAGAGATAGGCCCTCGGTTCCCTCTTCCCTACTAGTAACCTCAGGCTTGACTGGTGATGCCTGAAAACATGTCACCTGCTCTGACTCATCCACATTCATAGTGACGCTCAGAAGTCTCGGGTTTCTTCAGGAAGCTGAGTTCAGAAATCGTTTGTAATATCAGGTTAAGGTGACTTTTCTCTATTGTAAGCGTTAATAATTGTCCACAACAAAGCAAATACTCCGTAATTATGTATTTATGATAGGATCGCATTTCTTAGTGATTGGGCATTTAGGAAGTCAAGATATTTTATAGTCTTTTTTCTTTTTCAGGAAAACTTTGAAAAAAGTTGAAGTGCACAGTATTAGAAGCTACACTAAACAGGTTAGGATTTCTCAGTCTGGGAGACACCAAGACTAAAAAGGAACGTGATTCAGGTTAAATGATTGTGAAGGGTATAGACGCCACCAACACAGATATGGTCTCCAAATAGTGGATTTCGGAACTATAGGAAGCTTTCTAAAAATTGTCCTCCGCTAGAATAAGAGGTTACAGGCTGGAACCTTAAATACAGATTGAAGGCTTAGTAAAGCAGGTGCTTTAACAGTGGTGAACATTTGTTGGCTTCTTTCCATCTGCCAAGCTCCTTCCTACATGACCTCATTTAATCTTTAAAACAACCTTACAAGGGAGGTCTTCTTATTTATCCCCCATACACACATTAGGAACCTTGATGTCAGATAGGTCATGTAATTTGTCCAAGATCCCACAGACAAGACATGGTGGAGCTGGGATGGGTGATGCCCTGTCCGCAGGGTACTAGAGAAGGCCTGGGTGTTTGGAGACTGTTACTGCTCCCTTTTAAAATTACTTAGGCTAGATCTAGTGAACCCCATATGGCAGTTCTTGTGTTTTATTTTTTTTAGTAACTCTCTCTCCTTAAATAGGTTGTTATCATAGGATCTTAGGATGGTGACCTTGAAAGGGGTACCGGCTGCTCACCCTGAGAGACAAAAAACAGAGACCTTCTCACTTGTGGAGGGAGAGAGAGAAGTTCTTTTTGCTCATCTTGGACATCTTCAGGAAGGACCTCCACTAAAAGGAAAACTATCCTTTGATAGAATGTTCTGGTATATATTCTGGCAGTCAGGAAGTTTATGTAAGCGCTCAACCCTCCCTGATACAAATTCTTTTGTAGCCTAAAGGGAAGTGTACTGCTTCACTATAAAATTCCATTGTTCACTCCAGGCATCCTGGGAGGTTCATTCAGTGGTTGTTTCCTGAGCGCCTACTGTGTGCCAGGCATGATACTGATGATTTGTGCTGAGTCTGATCTTGGAAATCTTCAAGAATAACTGTAGACAAGCCAGCCATCCTGGGTAGTTTACAGTCAGATTTTTACCTTTCTTGAATAATCATGATGATTTGCCGCTCACTGTATGTTATTTAATCCATACGACACTCTCTGAGGTGGTGTTAAGTCACCCACTTAACAGATGAGCAACAAATCAGAAACACGCCCCGCATCGCACAGCAGGGCCTGGGCCGTGTGAGGTGCGCTCCTACGGAGAATAATCATCCTTCTCATGCAGTGCTTTCCACTTATCAAAGTGCTTTTTACCCGTATTGTCTCACCTAGCTCCGTGAACAAACATGGTAGTAGTTATAATTATACTCATTTTACAGACAGCAGTAATCATTTCTATTTATTGTATACTGATTTTGTGCCAAGAGTGCACAGTAATTCACCAGATAAAGGCCTAGTTCATGTAATGCCCACAACAGCCCTAGTATCATGAGCCCCACTCCACAGGAGAGCCACTGAGGCCTGCAAAGTGTAAGTGACTTGCTCAGCATAGTGGGGAGCTGTGAGTCAAGCCTGGGCTTGTCTGCCCAGCCAGCACGTGTGACCACTTGGCTTCATTCACGTTACTGTGCTACGCTGCCTCACTTCCCAGACGAGGAAACTGAAGTTCAGAGAGCCAGCTAGTACTGCTGAGATCATCCAGCTCACAAGTAGCAGAGCTGAGACTCCAACTCGGATCCTTGCTTTAGAAAGCCCCCTCGTCTCCCCCTGACCTGGCTGCCTCCCAGCACAAGAAGAGCTGAAAGGCTGTGTCTTCCATCCAAGCTCAGTTCCCTGATTCCTTTGTGATGTGTCTAAACTTCTGTAGTTTTAGTCATTCTTTAGATTTCTCTGTGTTTCCCCCCCATTTTTAGGCAGAGAGCCCTATCCTGCTGGTCACGACATGTTACAGAAGAGGAATGGAGATGCAGGAAGTCATCTGGTGAAGTTAGATCAGAGCTCAAATCCAAATTTGAGTCCCTTGTGCCCAGCTCATTTAGTTATGTGGCTGTTGTCCCTTTTGTCTCTTGAAAATATTGCTTGAGGGAAAGCCTTACCTTTGTGAGGTTGCTCTCTGATGCCGTAAAGAATGCCCCTTTTCCCATCTGAAGATCATTTACCCTTATCTAAATAGTGAGCTACATTAATGGTTAAAGCAAGGAGGTATATCAGTATCAGACATATAACAAGGACCATTCACTCAGATTTGAACTGTGGCTAATCTATACAATCTCAGCCTTGAACGTTTTAAAGCACAAAAGTTCATTACTTTAATGATCAAGTAGCCTTTAGATTTCTGAAGGAAAAGGTTATGTTAACCGTTTCCAGGACAGTCCTTTTATTCAAATTGCAAACTCAGGTACCTGTTCCTTAAAATTGAACTGGATGAAATCTATATATATCTGTTGATACGTAAAACATTAGATAAATATCCAGATGTATTTCATTATTCTGACTCAAGAAAAGTATGTCCTATTTAGATACTCTTTAAATAAACTGTTTATGAATTGAACAAATAAACAAGAACTAGCTGTAACTAAATGGCTTTGTACAAAACAAAAACAAAAACAAAAACAAAAACAAAACAAACCCTGAGACGCTTTAAAAGAGGAATCATCTCAGAAAACCCCATGCCTTGTTGTACTCATTTTTATTTTTAGAGCTAAACCTGAGTGGACTCAAGTATGTTTATAGTTTTTGAAAACAGCTTTTCATTTTCAGAGGCCATCAGGTGATGTGGAAATAATTTAAAAATGAAACCACGGGGGATAGCTCAAGTGGTAGAGCACATGCTTAGCAGGCACAAAGTCCTGGGTTCAATCCCCAGGACCTCCTCTAAAAATAAAATAAATAAATAGGCCTAATTACCTCCCACCTAAAAAAAGTAAAACTGAAAAATTAAAAAAAAATTAAACCTGTTCCAAATGTATGAACTCCAGTTTAGATATGTTTTAGCCATGGAACTATCCCTGTGCCACCAAGAGTTTTTTTTAAAGATAAAAATGAATACTTCCCGAGCGCCTCCTGTGCCTCTAGTCATGGTTTCCTCACGCAATCCCCACGCTCCTGTGATTCCGATACCGTTCCTCCCTGACTCCCTTTTACAGATGAGGAAACAGATCCAGAGTCACTGAGTAATTAACCCAAGATCACACAGCTAGGAAATAGAAGTCTCAGAAGGTGAACCTAATTTCTGCACATTCCAAAGTCCATGGCTGCTTGAATACACAAAGCTGTCTTGTGATAGCCTGGCATGCTGGAATTTTAAAAATTAAAAAAAAATTAAAATTAGCAAAAAAAAAAGTTAGGAGAAATTTCCTTATGATTCTGTTTGATTCTGTAAGAACAAAACAGTTTAGTTTGAAATACACACTTTTTTTTTTTTGCCCTGGAAACAAACAGCAAAGTTACCAGTTTTTCTTATGTAGATAGAAGGAGCTCTTTTGAGTTTATACCTCCAAGAAACTCCACAGAGATGCATCAGAAGATACTGCTAATTGTCAGCAGTTCTCTCTAACCAGTTGGTTGCCTATTGTTCTGCTCATTGTAGTGACTGTAGGTAACCCTAGGTCACATTCCAAATGTGACATCTTTTAGATAGATTCCGATAGGATTAAAGACATTTTCCTGTTCTGTTTTGGGTCATTTTCTTACTGACAGAAACTGATGGGCATAACAGTGAAACTAGACGGTGATGAAGCTTTTCAGTTCTCAGACGGCTTTGAAATGAAGTTTTGTCTTTTTCTTAAAGGTTAATTTCTGGGGTCACTTTAGCATGAGAATAACGTAACAGACTCCCCTCCTTCCCATTCTTCTTACCTGCTGCCCCCTCTCTTCTCACCCCTACCCCAACCTCTTAACCCCCAGGCCAGAAAGTGCCACCCCATTGACCTGCCTGAAATCTTGCTCTGTGAAAACCAAAAAGCACATCCGAAAGATAGCTGGACATGTAGCAGTAAAAGGCACAGTTTTCCCTGTCCTTCAGTCATGTAGATTGTCCAAAAAATTTCTAACTTTTAAAAAAAGAAATAAGTAATACGTGTTTGTTGGAGTAATATGAAAAAAAAATACAGAAAACCACTGAAATAGAATTTCACTTTGTAAAGATAACCGAAGCAGATTGTTTTCTAAATGACTGTTGGGCTTTCCAAACAGAAATATTTATGTGAGAGGGAGACAGATAGTCTTTACATACGATCCATTTTGTTACTTTCACCGAGACTCAAAGTCTAGAAAGCTCTGTGCTGTATGGGGCCTGAAAGGGTGAGGTTGTGGGAAAGAAATAGCTCTTGTATTTCTGTTTTTTTTTTTTTTCCTTTCTGCTTTATCCTTTCTAAGTGTGGGGTTGTGTGTTCGAAGGCCACAGCGGTTGGTGTGCTAAAGATTTTTTTTTCTTTTTCCCAGACCCCAGGCAGGCACAGTCTTCTCCGCCGTGGTCCTATGACCAGTCTTACCCCTCCTACCTGAGCCAGATGACACCCCCGTCCATCCACTCTACCACCCCGCTGTCCTCCACCCGCGGCACCGGGCTCCCTGCCATCACTGACGTGCCCAGGCGCATCTCAGGTAAAGACCACACACTTTAACTCAAAACCCACTCCCATGCCGGGGTGGGGTTGGGGCTGCAGGGTGGGCCCAGCTGTCTTAGCTCTGCTCACAGTAACTCTCCGTCAGAGGTCTGTGGACAAGGGTCTGACCACTGCACACCTGGATTGTGGGGCTCGCAAATGCTTGAACTTAAATTTAAGTCAAGAAAGAGACTGAAAACCCACCAGAGAGGGCATCGTTTTCTAAGCTGACACTTCATGCCACCCAGCCTTGGCCCTGCTGAATCGCATCCCCTTTGGTTGGCGCTGTCTCACAACTGGGGCCTTCTCCTGAGGGTCTTATGCCTGGCCTTCCTCTGCTTGCGTTTCTTTCTGTTCCTAACATCCGCCTGTGAGCCAGATTCCAGACTGAGGGCCCGGCCCTCTGTGTCTAGAGGCTCTGAACTCCCAGGAGTCCCAGGTCGCCAGTTCCAAGAGAGAGCGCCTGCAAACTTCAGATCCCAGTCCGACACTAGCCCCTTGGAGCGCAGTGAGGCTGCGAGAGTCTGAGAGACCAGCTGTGGCCTCTGAGTGGCCCGCTGCAGACGAGGCAGCCTCTCGGGGAATCGCACAGCTCCCCGCCGCCGCCCTCCACGTGGCGGCCTGCTGCTCACACCTCCCTCTCCTGAAGGCACCACGAGTTCCCAGGCTTGTGGGGGAAGAGCGAGTCATAGCCTTCTGGCCGACCCCTCTCTCCTGGAGGATTCCTTACGGGGAGCCAGAGAGTGGCCACAGAGACGTCTAACTGGCCGGTAGAGGAGAGCTAAAGGCTCTTGGCCAACCACACGAGTCCTGTGAATAAGAAAGAGTCTCTGAGACACCGGGCCATCCAGACCGCGGCCCTGCCCCTAAGGAAGCCGCCCCTCAGAGGCTCACACAGCTGGATCCTCCTCTGTCTGTCAGAGGCTCTTCTCGGAGGCGTTCGGGCTCTGTGCACCTGTTGACTCCTGGCCAGGTTAATGCCTCTCTTTCTTTCTGTTTGTGTCTCTGTCTCTGTTTTCTCTCCCTCTCTCATTTTCTGCAAAGCTCGAAGCCGTTACTCACTCCGCTGAGCTGCACCGCTGGCAAGCTGACGGCCACCAGCAGGCTTGCAGGTTTTGATTAGCTCAGACTCCTTTATTTCTTTCAACTTGGGAGGAGGGAAGGCTTTGTTTCTCAAGCGAATAGCAGGAAAGGGCTCCCCGGTCCTAGCGCCTTCACATTTTCTGCCGCAGCTGGACTCCCATAGGGGTGAGTAGGGAAAGAAGGGGTCGGTTGGGGAGGGAGAACCTCAAGGTTCTTTGCAAAACCACGTCACCACTTCTCATTCTGACCGCTGTTATTAGTTTCATACATCGCATGGTATTTACTGGGGAATCATGCGGAGTGTAGAATTTCAGTTATCATTTCCCTTGACTGGAATGACCACCCCCTTTAGGCAAACATCAATTAATGAGACGAGGAAGTATGTAAGGCACAGGGGGATACGCAGGGCTGATGTGAGATGGCGTTGGATGGTGTTGAGTTAGTTCTGGTCATTTCTGCGGTATTTTAGGCTGAGTCTGTTTTGTCTCACATAGGACCGAGGCGACACGTGGCCAGGACAGATTTGTGCAAGCTTACCTCTGTTTAGGGTCCTCTGGGGCTTCCGTTTGCCCAATCCTCTGTGGCGGAAGCAGATGTTACTGTTCGTCCTTTGGCAGTACCTAGAGGAGAAGGCAGCCTCAGGGAGTGAGTGGGGCTTTGGAGACCCTCAACTGCAGCGTTTTCTTACTGAGGTGTATTCGTGTATGACTTCAATGGGAAGACCATTGAAAATAGCCCTGGGAAAATGCCACATAAATGGCATTTCGTCATTTACGTGTGTATTCTAGAACAGACAGATTATTTGGAGTCAGTTTACTGATAATTTCTTAAAACATTTCCATAAACGGATAGGACACAGCTTCTCCCATTTCACAGGGGAGGCAGTAGGAGCAGAAACTGGCCAATTATCCAGCTGTATATTGATCCAAGGCCAAAGGTAGGAACCGGCCTCTGCTTTAAACTAGTTTAAAACTGAGTTTAGTCTAGTTTTTTCCTCCCACCCCAAACATTTCTATGAGCTGTTCCTGGCAAAGTAACAAGGTGTCGGAGTGGGAGGTTCTGTGTAAACATGAGAGCGAGGAGAACAGAAAATCCCTCTTGTCAGCATGCAGGGACACAGGAAGAAAGAACCTGATGCGGGCTGTCAGGGAGACGGAGGAGCCCTGCCTACCTGACCTTGTTCTTGGGCACGGAGCTGTGTCCACACCCGTGGTGCTGCCTGGTGGGCCCGGGGACCAGGTCGCCTGGAGTGAGCACCGTTCTCCCTTCCCTGGGGACCCGTCCCGGGAAGCTCCTTGGAGAGGAGCCTGTCTCAAAGGCTCCCAGGCACCAAGTTGCATACTTTCTCTCTTATTATTTTTCCCCTCAGTATCTAAAGGTGTCCCTAAGTTCCAAGATGCTATGTCTCTGGAACATGGACAGCTAAAATATTAACCTCTATCTGCATCTTCAAGCAGTCCTATGTTCACTTTTTGAGATGTGTTCCAGAACAGTTCATGTTTTTGTGTAGAGAAATCAGCCCTCATGTCCCTGTATGCAGGGACTCACAAAACAACCTTGTATGATCTTGGATGAGAAAGAATAAAATCCCTCACTTAGGTAGTAGGATTGGAGGTTCAGACCCAGGTTTGAATCCTAACTAATGCACATGTCAGGCAAATTTCTTATGTCTCTGAAACTTAGTTTTATTATTTGTAAAAGAGAGATATGATATTTAACTCTTGGGGTTACTGTGAGGATTAAATGAGATGCTTTTTGTAGAGAGTTAAGGGCAGGCCTGACACACAATATGTGCTAAACAGATTGTAGCTGATATTAGGAAGCTAAAATTGTTTTGTAAAAATTGTATATCTGTATATATAATTTACAGGCAAGCCCTGGCTTAAATGAATCAGTAGATAAAAATCTAAACTTTCAAAGGGGGTTATTTACTTTATAAAATGTATGGTCACAGAATGCGTTTAAAATGTAAAAACCTCCTTGAAATATTTAAATATTTAGATGAGTTAATACTCACGTGGCATTCATAAAGCACTTAACACAGTGCGTAACACATAGAAGTACTCTGTGTCTGTCATGATGATTATTATCCCATAGACTTATGATGAATTTTTATCACGCCAAAAAGCAACTGGGAGCCATACAGAAAAAAATCAAAGCACTAAGAGAAAATAACTGTTCAATTGTAACGCCAGAAAATAGAACGTGTTAAGTTACACCTGCACATAACTTGGGAATCAGAGAAATAAAAGTGACCAGAGAGACCTTTCAGAAAGGAATATTCTTAAAGAAATTCTGTTTCATCCTAGAAGATCATCCCAAAGAAAGACTGTGATTGAATCTATTTAAAGACCCTCAGAGAATCCAATTTTACAACTTCTTTTTATTTTTGGTATCGTTTCTTGCTGAGTAATTTTCCAAGCGTGGCTACAAATGCTAGAACTTAATGAATTACAATAATGACATGTGATGTTACACCACAGAGCGCCTGTAGCCTCCCTCAAATCCTGCATGGAAGCGAGGAGTAAATAAAGTAAGATGACACCGGTGTATTACTCACAAGCCTTGCTTTGCTGCGAAGACAGATACAGAACCAGATGTCTTGAAGTTCGTAGGTGCAACACAAAGATCCAGGAACTATTCCTTAACCTTGAGTGGCCTTCCACATTCTAACGAGAGCAGACGCATCAGTTTAAGTTTATAGCTGAACAATAAATTATTGTCACGTAATTGACTGAGAGGGTCTACCTCATTGTATTCAGTTTAGGTAATACCCAGTTGGCTTATGAAAATCAAGCAGACACCGGTCTAGAGCCGCCTAGCACAGAAGAAGCCCTGTAGGGCTTGGTTCCCTTCCCACCACACTGACTATGATAGGCACGGCCTCATCACGTAATAATCTGTATTTACGTCTCACTCCCCACCCCCTCGTGGTTTCATACGTTATCTCCTTTCATCTCATGTGATTCTAAAAGAATATTCCCTCTACAGAGGTAGCCCAAGTTGCTTCTCACCGATGCTATGAAAGAGCAAGGTGTGTGGCAAGGTAAAGACCAGTAAGCTTGATAGTGTCTTTATCATCGAGATAATGTGATCGCCCATGGCATTTTCGGTGTTCAAAGCACTAGTGAGGCTTGACACCAAGATTATGATTACTCTTCTGGAGCTCACTTAAAAAGACCATGTAAATAAATAATTACTGACTTTGAAAATGTATATTATGTAATTATACTATTACAAAAAGAAGCATAACTCTTTATTGACTCTCATTCTTTGACTTATGCGTCAGAGTATGAGCTATTGTTAGTCTCCTAAAGGAGACTGAACGTAGGTTTATTCACTGTGAATAACCCCTCCCCGTCCCACTCGTGTGAGTCTTAGATTCACCTACTTCTGTGCTGCTCTTTGGTGTGCACGAGGTGGAAGGAGTCTCACAAGCATTTTTCTGCGGTCTTGGTCTTTGTGCCCAAGGACCTCTCCGATGCTTTCTGGAGGGCTCTTAGAGACGGATACGTGGATTGCAGATGCGAGGGACAACACAGGTTGTTGGTCTCAGTTATCCTGAGAGAGACCAGCGCAGGTCGTGTGGATGACTTTTCTCTGCAACGGTAGGATTATTTTATGTGAGGCAGAGTTAAGAACTGTAATCTTTTTGAAGGTCATTTTTTTTTTCTGTGTAAGCAAATAGTCTTGAATTTCTTCTTTCAAAATATTCAAATATTAAATATTAAAAAAATTCCACTTCATCAACTATACAGGACTATTCAATATGTCTCCATTTTTACGACTCTTAGTCACTAAACAATAATATTTCCAAAGGTCAGCAGAATGGGCATCAGCCTAATCAATAAAGTTACTAAAAATGATTGTATTACTGCCACAAAATCTAGAAATTGCAGTGGAAAAACTCCATTT